CATTTATACTACCCGACTGTTCTCTATTATTTATATAATCTTTGAATAAAGCCCTGTATTTTAACTTACTTATTAAATATCATGTTTTACCGTATCGAATGCTTTCTAAAATTCCAAAACCTATAATATTACCATTATATTTCCTTCGACAGTTCTGTGTTAAGTCTGTAATAGCAAGTTTTGTGCTATATTTCTCTCTAAAACCATATTGATGGGGTTATGATAAATTGGTTATTGATTGCTTTTTTCAAAAACTTTTATAAATTGAAGTAAGAATGAGACTGACCTATACTTCCTTGGGTCAGATGGTGAAATAAAAATCAATTACACACAAATCCATTAATCATTTACAAATTATAAAATTCACCTAAAATTGCATAAACTGAGAAACATTTTCTCACACGTGATTGAACCTAGCATTCCATATAGTATAACTACTAGCTAGGGCAATTTCACTTAGCTTACTCATAATTTTGCTGAATTTTTCTCCATTTATTTTTAACATACGTTTATTCAACTTTCATTTTCAGGGCATATAAGCCCTCTCCTTCCAATTTCAATGCACACTAATTTACAGCTGTAACTTTTTCTGCTAATATCTCTAAAAATAGTTCATTATTTTTATTGCATTTTCTTTCGTGTGCTTTAGCAATTTTAGGTTCAAAAGGGACTGTTAATTCGCAGAGCTATTTTCTTTAACAAGTTTAAGTACTTCATTGATTATGCAGTCTTGCTGCCATGTATGTCAACTGTTCCAATGGCAGATATTTCATGCATGGTGTAATGTTTCTTTACTCCCACATAATTTACAAAGATCAGACGACCTCTTTCCCCACTTTCGTAATTTACTGGTGGTTGGAAGGAAGCCGATAGACGCCCTGATGGCGAAACTAAATACCCCTTTTTATAGGTTATACATTACTGATCTCCAGGTAAGATCCCACTTATTTAGAGCAAGCAGCTTAAGGAGCTGTTTTTGCTGAACAAGTGGCCCAATATAGTTACTCCAGAACTTTGTTCGATCGTCTTCGATAACGTCTTTGTCCACGGGTTTAAGTTTGTGCCAACATGTATCATTAGATTTTTCCATCGCCTCAGTATACACATTTTCTACTGGTTTGAACCATCTTTTTCATTTTTCGTCTCCATTCAGATTCCGTATTAAGTTTAGATTGCAGTGCATGAGTTACCCGACAGTCAGCTTTTGTCGTGGATTTAGCGAAAGCAAGGGAATACAATTCCTGTCTCTTATACACATCTTTGATTAGTGCACATGTGATTATCAACATTTAATCATACTGAGTGTGAATTTAAATGTTAGTTTAGTACTGACGTGTGATCAGAGATCACTGTAATTACATAAAGAATTACATATATTGAGATTCAGTGGTTTTGTAATAGATGAATAAATATATTTTGAGACATATCTTCTTCATTGACTATTTACTGAACAGTCTCTACTAATCAAACGCACCAATTGTTTGCCCGTGTTCGCATAGGTGACAGTTCTTATCTTTAAAAAATATGTTAAATTAAAAGGAAAAATACGATAACGTACTTTTTCAGGAAAGATTTTGCAATTTCTCATTTTTTAAACAAATGCACCTTATTCTCAATTACATTACATAATTCACATATTTCTATTTGTTTTATTTTCCAAAGTACACGTTTTTTTTTATATGTTGTACTGTATGTAACAATTTGAAATTAAACTTTTCTCCCTTTGATCCTTAAAATATTTGATAGCCAAACATTTTCCCATTCAATCTGCACATGATATTCATTATACCATTTAATTTCCGAACAAACTTAAAAATATTCAACCTGTACCAAGAAAGAAAAAATACTTTTCAATTGATTACATATTCCTCTTTTAGATCTTGGTGGGTAAAATAATTGCATTATAATCTCAGAGCTATTAGTTTGAATCCTGTATCTCTTAATACGATGTTGGTTGAGAATGTCTCACGACTAGAAATATCTACGTGGTGTACCGCAAGCATTAATATGTATTATTACTTCGCCATGCAAACCTTAAAATAATAACTTTTCTGATGAAGGAATAAAACTACTTAATTTGTAAAGTACGCCTGCCTTAGATATAGAGCTAATACTTTTATTAATAATTGTTAATTGAAGTTCATTTGATTCAATTCCATTTATACTACCCGACTGTTCTCTATTATTTATATAATCTTTGAATAAAGCCCTGTATTTTAACTTACTTATTAAATATCATGTTTTACCGTATCGAATGCTTTCTAAAATTCCAAAACCTATAATATTACCATTATATTTCCTTCGACAGTTCTGTGTTAAGTCTGTAATAGCAAGTTTTGTGCTATATTTCTCTCTAAAACCATATTGATGGGGTTATGATAAATTGGTTATTGATTGCTTTTTTCAAAAACTTTTATAAATTGAAGTAAGAATGAGACTGACCTATACTTCCTTGGGAATTTGCAGCTAGACTTATTTATTTGGTCCACTCCTATTAAAATATGTTACTTCTTCGGTTGTACCATAAAGAAATAAGGAATTTGGATACGTGTTAGGTAAGTGTATGATGTGGTTTCAGCAGGCCTATCAGTAATCTCTTTGCCCATTGAAACAAAGTAATTAGTAATACAATTAATTATGACTGATTGACTAGTGTGGGTAGAGTCAGTGGTGGGGCCAGCGGGAGGGGCGGCAGGGGAATGTGACCCACCTCCGTCGGGCAGGGTTGTTCGACAAATGACTTTAGGTCGTCGGATAAAAAAAAAAGAAATAAACAAATTTCCTATCTGAATAACGTTATTTTGATTGCAATTTCATAATATTTGGTCTAAAAGCACATTTTGGACCACACTAAGCCATAAACATACTCCCTGTGAACGCTACCAGTGATGACCGGCTACCGGACTGTCGATCGGGCTTTGTCGGTCTTTTGGACACGTCGGACACATCGGAACACTTGACGGAAAATTTCTGGCGCCACCACTGGGTACAGTGATATGTTGTATAAACATGTCAATAAGGCTAATAGTGTCACTTGAATAGATATTATTTACAATAATATTAAAATCTTCAAGCAGAATACATTCCGTACATTTTTGTTTAATATTTCCGATTGATAATTCGAGACTTTCTAATTAATTCATTTATTTTTTTTTATTACAGGATATAAATTCAGACAAGATGTAACAAAAATGATAAAAGCTTAAGCTACAGCACAGAATACATTTCATTTTGTTAAAATAAATTGACAAAGATAACAAGGTAAGGTAATGCAATCAAAGATACAAGTCTTAATAAAATATTAGTTAAAAAAAGAAAGAAATATAAACAGATTAGCCATACCATTATACACAAGGATACTAATATATTATATTAGTAATTTATTTGACATTCTACTTTTACATCAGTGGCAGCACACAAGCAAGTGGCGTAGTTAAACTTAAGCTAATGAATGAAAATGAAAACAACAAGAAGGATAAGAGTTATATTCTTATAGTTTAATTTGAAATTAAAATAACTGGTATATTCTTTTAATATATGCGGTAGTGTATTCCACACATTTGCACCAGCATACCTGTGTACAATTTACTTTTGGAGATACAATGCTAAGTGAATCTGTCTGCAGTTCTTGGGTTATACCCATGTTTCAACTACAATTTCTATTTCATTACACATGAGGTGCAGTGCCGTTAAAACATTTAAACATGCAATATTATAGTCCCGTCGATTTTTAAATATTTTCCCAATAAATGTTTGATTATTTCCTCTCCATGAAATGCCATAATCAATACATGGCTGTATTGTAGTTAAGTATAATTGATTTAACACATTTTTGTTCAAAGTGAATGCAAGTTTTGAGTAATTTAACTTAGAGCTAACTGATTTTGTTACGTCCTAGGTATCGTATGTGTTGGACATTTTTGAAAAACTGATCTCCAAGATGAATATTAAAATTATTATTAATTATTATTAATTATAAGCATACTTTTAGTTTTTTCAACGTTAATTTTTAATTTTTTTTTGTATACCATTCTTGAATATTATCCATTAATGTTGAAGGTTATCACTATTTCAGGAATAGTTTTTCGTGAAGCATAAACAACAACATCGTCCGCATATATACAACATGAACCATTTTTCTACAGATTGTGATATATCAAGAACAAGACAGGATCAAAACCTTCGGGTATTCCGATTTCAATATCCTTTTCTTTGATATTGTATCCCAATATTTAACTACTTTCTTTTACTCAGGTAGTTCCAATCATGTCATGATCATTTGGAGAGTCAATCCAGTCATCAATTACGATGTGTAAACAAGTAATTGTTGAGTGATCTTTTCTAAATGCATATTGGTCAACATTTATCAAATTTCACTTGTTTAAATAATCTGTTAGTTGATTCTGTATTACTATTTCTAATATCTTTGACACTTGACAATTTACTGATATTGGCCTATATTTACTTAATTCTTTTTTGTGGCCTTTTCCTTTTATACACTGGGGTAATTCTCGCAATCTTCCAATCCTCTGGAATCTCTCCATTTATTAACAACATATTATATATATATCTTACATAGTAAATCGGATACATAAGCTGATGAAATTTTTAACAGTTTGTCATCAAAATCAAAGAGGTAATTGTTATTACTCTCAGATAGATCGATAAGTGCTTTTTCAACTTCTTGTTTTTTAATTTTCTTAAACGAAAAAACATAATCTGCATTCAGGATTTTCCAGTTAGTTTTTGGGTTATCAAATAATTCCGATATTTTCTTTCAAATATTTGTACAATATTTATTAAAATGGTTACAGTCGATATTTGGATTAGTAATATTTTTGTTTATATTTTTACCGGTGAGTTTAATCCTCATCTCATTCCATAATTTCTTGAGATCAATTTTTTTGTGTTTTCGTTCAATATTAGCAAAATAGGCTGCCTTTTAATTCGTTAATTTACTAGTTACGTTATTTCTCAATCTTTTATACGCCTGTAAGTGTCTTTTGTTTTGTGTTTATCTGACAGTTTCTTTGCATGATCTCTTTGGTGATAATCTGCTTTTAACCCTCATTGTTCTATAGGGAGTATGCCTATTTCTTATATGTCTAGGAAGGAATCTTTCCATTTCTTCCATACAGATTCTGTACTATCGTTTGCAGTATTATTTAGTTCATATAGTACCTTGTTTTCAAGTAATGCTTGACGATTCCTGCATGGAAGTCTTTAAAATGTCGATATTTAATTGTTTCATATTGACAATCTTTATCTTTATATTCTATCATTGAGTGCATGGTGTTTAGAGATTGAAGATAAACTTAAATCGATACAAGTTGCTGGCGTCTGTGTGATTATTGTATTTTCTTTAACTATATAATTAAGTAATTTCAAACATATTCTCTCGTCTATTTATTGGCTTTTTATGAAGATTTATATCACGTTTATAATCAACATTAAAGTCTTCTAACAAACTGAGTTCATTGTAAGCCTTTTCCAGCATATTAGTTATCTTATCAAAATATACAATATTGGGATTCGGGGGTTGATATATACATGGTATATTTTTGTTTCATTTATCATTTATTTCAATCCATGCCGCATAAAAAGTTTATATTGAATTCATCTCTGTGCATAAATTGTTACTCTTCTACTATCACATTTGTTTGTGAGAATTAAATCAAGGTAATTTCTTGCCAATGTGTATCATCATCACCCTCATCATCATCATCGTCATTGTCACCATTATTAGCAGCAACACCTTTAACAATAGGGCTATAGTTAGATACATTCCTAATATACATATATGTCATAGGCATATACATATTTGGATAAATATTATTGTAATTACTGTCATATGGTTTAGCTATATTAAATTGTTTTAAAGGGCTAGGAGCATTTTCGGCACGTTCGTCTTGGCCAGTTTTTCACAAACGATCTCTGTGTCCATTGCTGCAGTGTTTATTGAAAGTATAGCATATTATAGGCTTGCCATACATACGACTGTCCTTCATATGGTTGATTTCTCCACAATAGTAGCATCCTCTTAATTTTCCAATAGGCTTATATTTGTTTCCATCACGGTGACGTATTGCGTTTATTGAAGTTTCTACTGGTTAATAAGCAGCGTTCGGGCCTGTATAATTTTTTATTTGGTTGGTGGTGTTGATTTCGTCTTGTTGATTTGTTTCCATTTTCTACAGATAAATTGCGTATATTCTTTATGATCCGTATATGCTTATCATAGTTCGTAAGTAATCGTTTAATTCCCAGCTTAGTTAAGTGTAACCCATCAGGCAACAATGTTGTAGTGTCTATGGAGTCATCCCGCATTTTGAAATTATTATCGTTATCTATAAAAACACTTTGTGTGTTGCAATATTCCTGAGTTTGGTATTGAGTGTATGAACATGATATCATCAGATGGTGGTCAAATACTGAAGTAGATATCGCACCTGCGTATTAGTAGCCTACATTTGGTTGCATCTATAATTTCAGTATAAACGTGTTCGGCTAGCTCGCTATCTACAGAGGAACCAGAATCATTAGTACTCCCTTGTAAAATGATAGATGTAAAATTGTCAACCCCCAGTTCTAGTATGCGTGATTGAATATCAAGTACGTTTTTACTACGCAGATATTTGACCGTCGCTTGTTCCAATCCCCTTTCACTGATACCTCTCAACAGAGAATGTCCTATAATCCCTGGGAAATTTCTTTTAAAGTTCAGTCTTATTCATCAGTTCCCTATCTATAGGGCCTATGTGTTGGTTCCTTATCTGTATATTGGTACGGCCTTATTTTTATTTTTATTTTCAACTATCATCATTAACTTTTTATTTTCTTCTTTCAGAGAAATTATTCGGTTTTCCTGCTGGTTTACTTTTATTGTCAAACTGTTAATGATTTCTTGAAAGTTTGACATAAGGTTGGGGATTCGTTTGCAATTGATACAGTACCAAACATATAGACATTCAACAGTGCTAATTTCGTAGTGGATTGTGATGGTTGGGATAGTATGTCTGATTATTGAGTCATTCTTATCCTGGTCAGATGTCGACGTATCATGGTAAATTAGATCCTTCTGCCGCCATACGTTATAATTAGTGATGTCAAGTTTGTTCCGTTGGATGCCCTGATAGGTTGTTCTTGCTTAAGTGAGTGGTGAAACACAACAGAATGAATACAGTAGAACAACACCTTTGCTCTAGTCCCATCGCTCATGGTCCCGGTTTACAGTAATCGTGTCTATTGTAAATGGGCTTAAGAAAGATTTCCATAGCATACCCCTATTAGGCTATCGAGCGGATTTTGAATTTGGCTTTCAGTAGGCCCAGAAAAGCACTAGTTTTCAAGTATTACTATCACGTTGCATTGACCAAATGACTGTATCTGGGTGGGGTCACTTACGTTTGTACATCAGTTTGTTGTGAAAATCAAATTCGATACTCACAACCAAGTGAAATTTAGTATTATTTACAGACAAAATCCTGTTCGTTATGACAACACTTATGACGTAATTAGAATCAAGATTTTTATTCTGTTGCCCATAAATTATTTCAACCACAAGTGATTTATTCCTACCTATATATATTTCCAACCGTCATGTCTCAGAATTACATATATTATAATTAATTATCTTATAGTTTAATGATTCATGTATATAACCTCCGACTCCTCACACTCTTTGTTCTATCCGACAATTAATTTTTAATGAATAATTATTTAACTAGTTTAGTCCTTTATTTAAAACTTGCCAAACTTCAGAAAGTGCTATAATTTTCAACTTACTCTGAGCTAATTATTCATAAAATATTTTAAGGTCCTCAAATATTTTACATCAGATCGGATATTATATTAATGTGCAATAACGAAAATGTTGATTCAGGTTTACTGCAAATCAAATTACAAAACTCAGTTGAAGAATATGACATAGGCCTACAATCACCACTTATTTTATTATGTTGTCCATATTCGGGTTTGGCATCATACTTAAAAGCGGCACCATGCATATATTCTAGATGATTATTGATGATTTTTTGTAGATCCTCCTCGGTATTTATGACAATCAACACCGGCCTTTGTTGCTTGCGTGCATAATGCGTCCAACTGTATGTTCACAAATAACTATAGTTTCTTTCCCCATAAAGTTACGTTTCTTTTGTGTCAGATTTGATATATATGTGATTTTTCCCAGGATACTAAAGTAAATCTGGCGTGATTTTATAATTTTTCTTCCATATTTATATATTTTATGGAGTTCCTTCCTGCTGTTAAATTTTAAAATTATTGGCCTGTTCAAACTGTCACCATTTCCTATTCTGTGAGTTACTTCAAATTCTCTATCTTAACAACTGCTAGTACTCTTACATCCGTGTTTTCTTTTGAGATTTGACGTATGCCTTGTATCTCAATATTTCCTCTTCTACTATATTGATTTTGTTTCTCTCTATTCCATTTTACATACTCTTTTCTTCAAATCATCATTATCTTCTTTTAAAGCTTTGTTATCTCGCTAAATTTCGTTGATTTTTCCACACATTTATTCGACTAGTGAATATAATTCATGGAATCTGATATGGACTTCTGGAAATAATTAATTTCTTTCACAATTTACCTGAAGCTCGGTTTCCATACAATCGCTACAAAGCTATCCTGATAGGTCTTCAACGAAATCGGCAAATTTGAACCAGGTTCATCCTTCCCGATTCATCGACAACGAATCGTAACTATTGACCAATCATTGGCTTTGGATGTTGACGTCATCAGCTTTTCTTCAGATGAACGATTTCCGAATGTATAATTTGGCAACGCGACCATAAGAAGCAAGATTTTGATCAACATACTCGTTTTTACTATTAGAAAATATTGTTGCCTGTACCATCAGATTTGAAAAATATGTAATGGGAAATGCATGGTCAATCGACAGTAGCTAAGAATTCAAGGTAGGTTGGTAGGGCTGGTGGTGGTAGTAGGTAGGTAAGTAGGAGTACTCCCTAGGCCTAACCTACTAGTTAGTAGTAGAGACCTACCTAGCGCAGGACTAGGCTAGCACAAAGCACACAAAAAACATGCAGATAATAAACAATTAATATACACAAAAAAATATCCTGGACCTCTATAAGGGCCTAGGCTAGGCCTTTAGGCCTATAGATGATAATACGTTTTACCTAGGTAAGGCCCAGGGGTCTAGAATAGGCGAGGGGGCTACATTGATTGTTGTTGAGGATAATTACGTTCAAAATATATATTTATTTTATATATATATATATCTGTCTCTTATACACATCTAGATGTGTATAAGAGACAGCGATCTCTGTGTCCATTGCTGCAGTGTTTATTGAAAGTATAGCAT